TCCTAATTTTTCATCGTCCTGCATCAAATTGATATTAAAGTTGAATTGTTCAAAATATCACTTAAAAATGGGGCTTATTATCAAGGTAGCTTGATAGATCATGAAAAGGATGGGACTTTTAACTAGTTTATATCAACAATTGAATGATTTATTAAATGGAAAAAAATCAAATTTGTTATGGTATTAATCTATTTAAAATAGAAATTGATAATTTGGAAGCCAATCAAGTTCATGCATGGGAACTTGAAGTAGATTCCATTCATAATCATAACCAATTCATTTGAATGACAACACTAGTAGGAGATAAAGCAAAAGTCTTGATACGTTTTAGGGGTTTTAACAATTATGCTTATGAAAATCATATATGTCAAAATTTTAATATAGATAATGCCATAATTTAAAAAGTTAAAGTTGAAGTGTTTATGAATGATAGTAAAATTTATCCTAAAGCTTTTACTGATTTTTTTACAGATATCAAACTTCTTTGAATGATAAGTGTGGTTTGCAAAAATAAAGTTTAACTGATGAAGCTAAAATCTGTTGGATGAGTATGAAGTGTTAGAAAAAGATTGAGAAGGGAGCCTACTATAACCTCGTTGAAAAATGAAAGAACCTTTAAAAGAAAAATATTTGCCTTTGTCATGTCGGGACTGTTTGTTGAATGAATTTAATTCATTAAAGCTACATATCAAAATGATTATTTAATACATGAACAAATATGAAGAACTTTATTACATTATGAGTTCACTTAAGACCTTAAAATCATGCTCCTTCGATTTAGGCCCGGTTTGAAACCTTGGTTAGAGATAATAGTCTAAACCATTACTACATTCTATCACTTGTGCATACCTTTTAACTTATATTAAACTTTCAATAAATGCTAAAATTTGTTATTTCGAAGAAGATTTATATATATATTTTAGCTGGACATTTTTTTATTAAATAATCATGTTCAATCTGTTACAACTATTGCATTTAAGGGTTGTACCACTAAAATTAATATGTGTATTAAGGAGAAATCAATGGGCTTTCACCATCAAGTTAGACCTAGATGGTACTATTGACTACTAGTAAGCGCACTTGGCTGCTAAAGGATACACCCATTGTTGGAGTTGACTATTTTGAGGCTTTCTCAAGTGGCTCGGCTAAACTATATTCGTTTCATCTCTATGTCAATTTATTAGGGGTGGCCTTTTAGGCAAAATGAATTTGAGCAATGTCTTACTCTGTGGTGATCTCATTGAAGCAGTTTACATGAAGCAACCTTTGTGCTACGTTGGTTAGGTAAAGAGCAAAATCTATAAGCCGTGGAAAGCCATATATGGATTGAAATAAAGTTCTCATGTTTTATTTAATAAACATTTCAAGGTCCTTACTGAAACTTGACCTTTGAAGTGCACACTTCTGATTGCTCTATTTCCATCATCAAAGATACACTTTGGTATAAGCATATCTACATAACTACCATCAGCTTGATATTTTCTTTATTGTTGGTAAGGTAAGTTAGCATATGCAAAGTTCAAAGAAGAAATATTTATATTTTGTCTTAAGGATTTTAAGATATATAAAGAAGTGTTCTGGGAAAGGAATAGTTTATTATAAACATTAGTTTTCATATTAAAGCCTACGTTGATGCTGCTATGCTAGATTCCTTGATGATAAAAAGTTACTTCAAGATATTATGCTTTTGTAGGAAGAAATCCTTGTATAATGGAGAAGTAAATAAAGCAAATTATTCTTGCTAAATCTAGTTTTGAAGCTAAATACAGAGCTATGATGTTTTCTGCCTTTGAAATGATGTAAATAAAAAAATTTATTGAAGCATTTGGCTTACTTCTTACTCAACCTATGATTCTCAAGTCAAGTGTGGTAATTAAACAATCATATATATTACTAGCAACTCTATTTTTAAGAAATTAACAAAACATATTGAAATAGATTGTCATTTCATCAAAAATATTGTTCTGTCAAGGAAGATCATCACTCTCCATATCTCTAGCGAAGAACGATTCACATATGTTTTTACAAATTTTTGTGGCCACTTCAATTTTCCAATCTTCACATATACGCTGCAATTTGAGGAAGTGTTGCCGTAGAGATTTATCAAATTGAAAAGTTAGTTATTGAATATTCTATCTTTATTTAAATATATTCTCTTAATTAAAAATATCCCTGATACGTCATCCAAAAATTATCGTGATCGGGCACGAATCTCGAGGCAAAAATCAAGTCGGAAACTTCAAAAATTAAATCCGGGAGCACCTGAACTCTGATTTAAGCAAACTTACTGTCAAACTGAGCATCTCGGAAATACGAATGCAACGACACCAAATTCGACCCAATCCGAGTCCAAATGGGTCCAAATCAAGGACCCGAAGCGCTGTTGGAAGGTTCAAACCGCAATTTGAGTTACCAAACGGTCTCCGATTTTAACGAGCTTATACTCGAATCGAGCGGCTCGACGAGACGAATCCAACGAGCCTAAGATCACCAAATTCCGACATCATTAAGGCCTTCAAAACTCCAACGAACGGTGCATGATCAAAGGATTCGATATCGGCCGTCCATTCAAACCACTTCCTATTCGCCCATGATCTCACGCCTATTTACGGGCTATGTCACTCCAGAAAAACTATAAATAGAGCCCTCATTCTACACAAAGGAGGGGGAAGGGGAAGAGAGAGAAGAAGAAGAGGAGAAAGGGGAAAAGGAGATTCCTCACCTCCTCGACCACCGCCGGAGCTCTTCCTGCCACCTGAAGACGCCGGAACTCTGCCGGATATTCAGGAGAACGCCAGAATTCTGCCCAACTTCCATGGGATGCTGAAATTCTTCCCAATTTACAAGAGAGTTCCCTCCTGACGCCGAAACTCCGCCCAAGTGAAGTCGGAGTTCTCCTCTGCCACCAAAGACGTCGGACTTCTACCCGACGTCGGACCTTCACTCTTCGCCAAGTTTCTACCCGACGCCGGACTTCTACCGGTTATTGGACTTTCACTAGACGTCTATCCGAAGATGGATTTCTTTCTATTGTTGGACTTCTAAACTGGGCTAGGCCCCGTGGTTTTTCCCCCTTTTTAGAGGGGTTTTCCACGTAAAAATCTTGGTGTCTCATAAATGCTAGACCCTCTCTCACTTATCTGCTTGTGTGCTGGATCTTCGTACAATGCTAAGACGTTAAACTAAATATTTCTCTACCGCCGCGAATACTCCAGGACGCAACAATCCCCACTATAAATTATTTCATTCTGTCATTTGTTTTTACCTCCATATAGTCATCAACCAAGTTATTTTCCCTATATATATATATATATATATATATGCTCTTAATTTTATTTTTGCATTTTCTACCTTATAAAAACACAAATTTTCTCTATTTATTGTAATCTATATTTGGAATAAAACTACACAACGAAACATGCAAGAGAATAACGGGAAAGATAGAACACTAGGAATCTAGGATCTAACATAGAAAAACTAGAAAAAATCCTGGAGCCGCTCCACACCAAGAAATCCACTATATTTCTCTCTCACTCTCTCCTTGTCCCTCTTCACTCTTCACACATTGTTCTACTTGGAACTGATAAAGAAACACTCGTAAATCACCCAAAGGACACAACCCTTAAAGTTAAACATGAAAAACGAGAAAAAAAAATGCTCAACCCAACTCACAGTGCCTCAACGCTCCACTCTCTATTTCTACCCTGCCAGTGCCGGGATTTAGAGCGCTGAGGCACTTCTCTCTCTGTCTCCAACTAGATTCAACACTGCAGTGCTCGAGTATATAGCATCGAAGCCCCGAACCCAAGCAGGGGGAGCAACCCTCCGGCCAGCTCAATCGATGGAATTGAGGTTTGAGTCAATAGTATAACCCGATTCATTGACACAATCATATTCCACACAACTAACAATCTACAATCTAATAATTAGTTATGAATCAAGTTTCATGATAATTTAACCTTTTTTCAAGCATAGGAAAAATACAAGGATGATTGTTTGGCACATAAAGTCCTCTTAAAGGTCTATTTTTACCCATGTATTTTAACAATCAAAATCATATAATATATGCAAAAATTACTTCTTTTTTTAATTCCAAGTCATATTAAATTCTCTTAATTTTCAAATTATCTTCTCATGCAATTAAACTCATTACAAAAACATCAAGTCTTTATCCCACTATGTGGGGTTGGCTAGATGAATCCTTTTTCTCCATTGTATCATGTTATGAGTCAAATTCTCATTTAAATCTAATAAAAAAGACTATTGCTAATATTTTCTAACCAAGTTTTTTAAAGTCTGTCTCTACCTTTCTTAACATAAGTCAAATCTAATACATCTACTGCCCTAACCGTGTTATCATTGAGAAAATTTTGATCTATAACATCGATGAGCAGAAGATATTATAAATTCTCTTATGACGTAGATTGTAATTATGTTAAAGGCAATGAATGATTTTAGTGATATTTTCTAAAGCCATAATATCTAAATCTAGATGGAAGTGGAATGACGATTCTCAGATGAGGAGCATAGGCAATCTCCCCGTAAGTTTTTTTGCAACCAGATTTTTCATGATCTAGAAGTATAAAATCACACAATTCATATTCATCTATGACATGAAAATTACTTGCAGATTGACTTTCTCCTGCTTTGATTAGAATTTAACAATTCATCATGTAAAAAAAGGGGATGATCAGTCAGCAAATAGAAATTTACGTAGTGAACTCACTTTCAGCCATATTTCTCTACAATCTCTTTAGGCTCAAATGCACCTAGTCCTTATTGTTCTAAAATTTGAGTAATCACATTTTTGCTTTGATCAAAACTCATGAGAACCAGCTTTCGTTTATTCTTTAAAATATCATAAAATCTCAAGCACCGTATTTTAAATTTATTAACATTTAGCACTTTACATAGATAAGCAATCTAACCTGGGTTGGAGTTTGTTTTGCAATTATATATGATGTCATTGTACAGCTTACCTAACTCATGTTTTTATGCAGAAACGCAAGCATTTTCTTCATGAACTTGAGAAGGTGCAAGAAGAGCTTCCCATGTACAGAAAACAATCTGAGGACGCTGAAGTTGCTAAAGCTGAAGTACTGAAGAAACTCGAGACTACAAGGCGACTAGTTGAAGAGCTAAAGTTGAACATAGAGAGAGCACAAACTGACGCAGCACAGGCAACCCAGGATGCAGAACTTGCCCAGCTTCGAGCAAAAGAGATGGAGGATGGTATTGCTGATGATGCAAGTGTTGCAGCTAAAAGACAGCTTGAGGTTGCCCAAGCAAGGCATGAAGCAGCTGTTGCAGACCTAAAATTCGTGAAAGAGGAGTTAGCTGCCCTTCAAGGGCAATGTTCTTCTTTAGTTCGTGAAAGAGACCTTGCAATTAGAAGAGCTGATGAGGCTGCTTCTGCTTCTAAGGAAATGGAGAAAGCAGTGGAGGACTTAACAATGGAGCTCATCTTCACAAAAGAATCACTTGATTCCGCCCATGCTGCACATATTGAGGCTGAAGAGCATCGAATTGGTGCAGCTCTGGCAAAAGATCAAGATTGCCTTAATTGGGACAAGGAAATAAAGCAATCTGAAGAAGAGTTGCGTATGCTCAATGAACAGCTTTTGCAGGCAAAGAATCTCAAGACAAATTTAGAAACAGCATCCAGTTTGTTGGATGATCTGAAAAAGGAATTGGCCGCATATATGGAGTCCAAATTGAAAGAACAGTCAGAAAGTTTTGAAGAAATGCAGTCCAAAGATGTTGTGGACCAATCAAAAGGATTTCAATTGGCTTTAGATTCCAAAAGAAAGGAGCTCGAGGAGGTAAAGGCTAACATCGAGAAGGCCAAAAATGAAATTAACATCCTAAGAGTAGCTGAGTCATCACTCAAGTCTGAGCTCGAGAGGGAAAAAACAGACCTTGCCTCCATGAGACAGAGGGAAGGAATGGCATCCATAGCTGTTTCGTCACTTGAAGCTGAGATTGAAAGAACAAAAGAAGAAATAAAACATGTTATGGATAAGGAAAAGGAAGCAAGGGAAAAGATGGTGGAGCTTCCAAAATTGCTTCAACAGGCAGCTCTGGAAGCAGATCAATTCAAGTCATCAGTTAAGATGGCACGAGAAGAGCTAAGAAAAGTCAGTGAAGAAGCAGAACAAGCTAAAGCTACTCTGAGCACCACAGAGATCAGAATGCAAGCAACTTTAAAGGAAATCGAAGCCTCCAGAGCATCCGAAAGGCTGGCACTTGCAGCTGTTAAGGCTCTGCATGAGAGTGAGGAGGCTGCTTCCATGGGAGAGTCTCCTCGAGGAGTAACACTTCCTCTTGAGGAGTACTACGCTCTGAGCAAGAGTGCCCATGAAGTTGAGGAACTTGCTAATGAAAGAGTCGCTATTGCTATCTCTCAAATCCAGGCGGCTAAGGAGTCTGAGTTAAGGAGTATACAGAGATTGGAAGAAGCATATGGGGAAATGAATAAAAAAAAAGAAGCAATGAAACTTGCAACTGAGAAAGCTGTCAAAGCCAATGAAGGAAAACTTGGGGTTGAACAGGAGCTGAGAAAATGGAGGGCCGAGCATGAGCAGCAGAGGAAAGCCGGCGACGGCAGCAGTAATGCTCCAAATCCTTCAAGAACTCCAGCAAGGAGCTTCAATGATAGCCTCCAAACAAGAACCAGCCAAGCAGCTGCTACTGTTTCTACTGATATTATTCATCCTTCTCCAGGCCAAATGATTTACATGTCAGCTAATAAAATGGAGCATGTGTTACCAGAGTTCAAGCCAAGGAAGAAGTCTTTTTTTCCTCGTATAGTAATGTTCTTAGTGAGAAGAAGGTCAAAATCACGGAAATAACTAAATCACTTGTTGAAATATATCTTTTTTGTATTCATATTATGTTTAGAGCACCAGTTGTATATGTCAGAAAGGTGGATAATGCAATGTTGCCTTATATTTATCTTTGCCAAAGTTTAAATGATTGGAGAGTATAGTTGTAAGCTCCTTGTGAGACCAGAATACAAATTTGTGCAAGAGATTTGTTTGAATCATTTTTCCAAGCCATAGTACATAACGAAATACCTTATGATTAAGGTTTCGTTTGGGATGACTTTCTTAGTGCTTCTTAAAGCAATTTTCTAATACTAAAAAGCTATTGTAAGTAGTAATAAAACTGTCTCAAACGAAGCCTAATTGTTTTGGCTAATTCAAACCTTTATTTTTTTGCATATTTAATGGGTTTTTTATTTTGCTATCTTTTTGTTTTATTGGGAGAAAGACTGCTTGTACTGTCAAATGCTTCTTGCCTTGCATGCAATAGAAGCTATTTGGTTTTGCTAAAAGAGATACAGTATATAATAATTTTATATTTTTAATGAAATTATTTAATTTAAAAAAATGTGCTTCCCAAAGAAGAGTATAGTGATTTGTGATAGAAAAATTATAGCAATTATATAAATCTTTAGGCAAAGGAAATATTATCGGCTTATCAGTTTAATAAAGTCGAGTCATTGTAATTTGAATAAATTAACCCAATTATTGATCATCCACTATGCTTATCTGACCTATCTCAGTTTCATTCAGCTGCGCATTGCCTATCATCCATGAGATCTTATCAGGTAAGGTTAGCTCATTATTTTCTTGTGAACTGATCTGTCTTATAAGAGTTAAAATTTAACTTTATGCTGTAAGGAAGTTTCTTATGCTCACCGAAGAATATCACATCAAGGTAATAGGTTAGGGGTGTAAATGAGTAGAGCTTGTGAGTCAAGCTTATTGAATCACTAGCTCAAGCACAAATTCATGCTCAAATATTAAATTAATTTGAGTTCAAATTTGACAAAATTTGGCTAGTATGTTTTAACATAAAGTTAGTGTATTATTTTTTTTAAAAAAATAAAAGTTGTAGTTTCAAAGTTTCCATTTCTACTAATTTAAAGATGTATTTTTTATATTAAAGTTTTTTTTGTTGTTGATGCTGTCATTTAGTTTTTTCCTTCAAAAATCAAGCTTTGCTACAACATCGAAAGGTCATTCACATCAACAATCTAGGCATGTTTGTAAGAAGGTAGTCCGTGAGCTTTGAAGTATGAAAATATGGGGTAATTAATACATCACAAAAAATCACCTTGATCAAGCACGAATCTCAAAGCATAGCTAAGTTGTCAACTTTCAAAAATAAACCTAGGGCCTTTTGAACTCCAATTTCAACAAATATATAGTCATGTTGAATGTTTGAGTGAGATGAACGCAACAACACCAAAATCAGTTCAATATGACCCCAATTGAGATCAAATCAAAGGCTTAAAGCATATGGGGAAGCTCCAAAGCATTAATTGAATGAAAAAATGATTTCTAAATATGGAAAGCTTATAATGGAATAGAGTGGCTCGACGAGATGAATCCAAAGAGTCCAAGATCACTTTATTCTCACATCATTAAGGCACTTAAATGTTGAATAAATGCTTCATAAATGATGGAATCATTATGGGTTGTTTGATGGAGCACTCTGAATTTATCATGGATCTTCTCCATATTTATGGAGCATGCCACTCTCAAAATCTATAAATAGATCCCCTCTTCTCACATGAAAAGGGGCTTGGACTTTTGGAGGCTTAGGCCCTAGGCTAAAGACTCAAGATAGCCTAGAGGCTTGAAGCATCCCAGAGCTTCACCTAGCACCATTGATGGTGGCCACCAGGCAGTCGCTACCATACCTCTACCCCAATGATCGACATCTTATTTCCATTCAACATCCATTATCAAGCCTTAATCTGACCTCTATAAACCCCCCCCCCAGACTACGATCCCTCCGACTACCATCGCCAATCAATAACGATCCCTTCGACCTTTGTTGTCCATCCACTATGACCACCATCTCCTACAACCTACAGTCCCTCCAACCATAGTGGCCCATTGATTGTGGTCCCTCCGACCATCGTTGCCCACCGACTACAATCCCTTCAACTTTTATCACCCGTCAACTACGGTCCCTTCGACCACCATTTCCCATCAACTATGATCCCCCCGACCTTGATAGCTAGCTGACTACAGTCCCTCTGACCACTGTCGCTCACAAACTAGGATCCCTCTGACCTCTATCTCCCACTAATTATGGTCCCTCCAATGTTCATCTTCTAATTATGACCCCTTTTGTAATAACTCAAATATATGAAATAAATTTTCTTGAAAAATATAAAAATTCTGAAGTTGAGCGCTTTGGTGCTGATCGGGTGAGCATTACGATGCTAGGAGTGTGTGTGTGTGTGTGTGTGTGTGTGTGTGTGTGTATATATATATATATCATTGCCTCACTCCAGCAACTCCCTCACTTGATTGCTTGGCCAGGAAGAAATTGAAAGAAGGGAATAAGAGAGAGGAGAGGGAAAAGCTTTTGGGTCATGTTTATCAGTCATTCATGTTACAAATTTTATTCCATTCATTGTAAGTGACTAAGTTTTTACTTTTGTTTTCAATAATTTTAAATTCTATAGATTTTATCTTTCCTAAATCTATCAAAAATATATTATATCCTAATTTCATAGGCTTTCACTGTGCAAGTTTGGATATATTATAGATCTGATCACTATGAAAGATTTGATATAATTTTATTGCTTTTTAAATGAAGAACTAAATGATATCAAATATATGATAATCCCACATAATACCCTACTGATCCACTTGATTTACTAATTAAGAGTCATAAGGAGCTGGAGATTAGTTAAGAGTTATAAAGAGTCGGGATGACTGATTCTTGTGATTCAAGAGGAGTTATATGGAGTACACTAATTGAGAGTTATAAGGGGAGACTGATTGAGAGTCATAAGTATAGGAGCAATATACCCTTAAGATATACTCATTGAGTATCTGAAAATTGATACCGACAATGCTATGAACACCGTACTGATATTGTGTCTGACACTAATATTATTTTATGTCATTATCACTATTTAATGCTATTTGTTAGTATTGTTACTGCTACTGTGACTGATAATGTAATAGATTGAAATTTGAAAAATTATAGAAGGATAAATTGATACATACAATCATAATATATATTGATGTATTTATTCATTTCTATTTTTATAGCATATTATTCTCCTTTATCTTGTATTAATTTTAGCTGCAAGATTTTAGTTATTTGTTGGGCTATGTGCTCATTACTCGGCTTTACATATTTTCAGAAAAAAAGTAAATATAATATGATATGAGACTCCGGACAAGACAAAAATGCAATCATGTTTCTTTCTATTATTTATTGGTAATCTCTAATTAAACGATTAAAATGAAAGAAATATGTAATTCTTCCAATATAAATCCTAAAGTTTGACATCTTTCATCATCGTAACTCGATTATGATCCCTCTGAGCTTGTCATCCGACTACGGTCCCTCCGGTGATTATCGTCCACAGACTACGGTCCCTCTGACCTATATCACCCAACAATGGTGTATAACTTGTATTTTGACCCAGGTAAATATATTTTTATTTTGGAGTCAATATAACTCTAAATCACAAACCATCTTAGTCATAACATTGTTATTATATTATTTTACTTGCATGATTTTTTTTTTATAATTTTTTATTTCTAGTGAAAATCCTTAAGAAATAATCTCCTCTATATCAGTCACCCGACTATGGCCCCTCTAATCTCCGTCTCCCGACTATGATCCTACCGACCAAACAAACTGGCTAACATTCCTTTGAGAAACAACTCTCATACCACTAGATTCTTCCAATTCTCACCATGTAATATTCTTTATATGATGTAATATTTGCTACATTGAACCAAAGCCTTCCGCCAAGGAAAGTCATCATCTGTAATCAACTACAAACACTAATAGAATCATTTTGACCAGGCTATGCCCCATGGTTTCCCCCATTTTAAGATTTTCTATATAAAAATGTTGGTGTTTCTTTGACTCTTGCAGCTCTGTCTTAGTTAGGATGTTAAATCCTATCTCTCTATCACCGTAAATATTCTAACACATAACAAAATTAGTATAAGATGCACAATACACATATATTTTTTCACATCTTATCAAGTCAACTGGTGTGCCAGCTTGAATTTGTGTCACTAACAATCTTGCGAGTCTTAATTATCAAGCTAGGAATTCAAGTTTAAGCTTAAATTTGAACACACACACACACACATACACACATATATATTATACGAGTTCAAGTTGAGCTTGGTCTGGCTTGGCTTGTCGACCTGGCTTGATTAATATTAATTAACACATCGACATTTATATTAGTCTAATTATTTTTTTATCTTGATTCAAAATAAAAAAAATCGAGCTCCAAAATTTGTTGGTCTCAGCTTTCTTATTGAGCTCAAACATCATATTTTTCAGTCAAGCCCTAAAGATTGTACATTCCTAGTTAAAAATTTAAGGGCTTGTGTGGTTTGCTGCAAAGAGGGTGTAAAGTATTTCAAATGCAGAGGTTTTAAAAATATTTATTTTTGGTTTGAAGTAAAAAATGAATACAAAGTAAATTCCAGTACATTTGGTATATACAAACTACTTCATTTTTTGTGTATTTGAAAATTCTCATATTTAGACGATTTGAAATTCACCAGCTACTTCACATTGCATTCACTTTACTTAAAACTAAATAGAATAAAGTAATGTCATCCATTTTTTTAATAATAATCTAAATAACTCCAAAATTTTTATTTTATATCACATTCCTTTTGCATTACATTTCTTTTATATTGCATTTCATTTTTAGGCAACTAAACAGTCCTCAAGTATAAATTTAATAAATATAAAAGTTAACTTGTTGTAAAACTATGAAGTCTTCTTAGGCTAAGCAAATATTTTTGATGAAGGCAATTCAAATAGAGAACTCTTATACACAACTAAGATTTTATTTGAAATAACTTTAGACTATTATTTTTTTACTCTTTAAAAAAATATTAATAAAAAATAAAATTTTAAATAAATAGATATCAATTAAAAAATTTTGAGTTCAAGTGTTCTGTGACATATGCGACTTTATTGGCCCCAAAAAAATCGATACACATGTACGAACCGGGCCCCATGCACGATCCTCTCATCTTATTTTGTGGTGCCCCCGGCCCCAACGGATTTTTCTTATCGGGCCCGTATCCGAAGCTCTCCACTCGCCGGCTCCGGGGCTCCTCCCGCCCGGGTTCTCCACCTCTGCACCGCCGACAGCAAATGAACGATGACGCCGGTATTCTCCGTTGCTTCATCCTTCTTCCTCATCTTCTTCCTTTTCCGCCTCGCCGTCTTCCCTTTGGCCATAGCCGCCCCTCCTCCTCGGGGTAAGGTTACTTACCAATGCTGGCTCGTAATTTATCTGGGCTCGATTCTCTTGATTATTTTTGAGTGATTATGATTTACTGTACTTTACATTGGTATTATTTTGGTTGGATGAACTGGGTTTGTAGGGAATTTGTTCAGATTGATGTTGTTTCCAGTTCATAACTTGGAGCTTTATTTATGTTTTTGTTTTATGAGTTTGCTGTTGCAGGGCTTCTTAGGACTTTTATCTAGGGTTTTTATGTTTCTGTGGAAGATCCTATGACAAAATTCCAACTTTTATGATTCATTGCTCTAAACACTAAAATTATTTTTTTCATTGAGCATTACAATTATTGTTCATGGGATAGTAACAAAGTTGTTTGCATGGGCTGAAACACTTGTTTCCCCTCATTGGCCATTTTCTAACCTTATTCAATAAATTTCAATTCAAAATCATAGCAAACCTCCATCTTTCCTCGTTGCATCCAAGTAGCATGTAATAAAAGAGAAACTAATTTGCAATCAAAATAGAATACCGATGAAATTATTTTTTGCTTACCTCATGCACTCCTATTTATTATAACAAAAGCTCCTTCAACCTACAAGTAAAAAAATTAGAAGATAAGCTAGCAGTTTTATCCCAAAAAGGTAGGTAGCTAAAATCATGAAAGAGAAAATTGTAGTCAGCGTGGAAATCTTGTAACTGCAGAGGTGTAGTCTGGTTACAAAATCAAAAGACTGTATGTCACAGAAGGAAAGTGTGGTAATTCACATCCATGTACCTAGCTTGAAAAAATAACTTTAATGAATCATTTAATTGATATTTTTCAAGCAAAGCTGATCACAATTATGGCACTTTTTGTAAGGTTGATAATGAGTTGAGCTCAAGTCGAGCATGAGTAAACTCAAAATTATTTTTCAACTCAACTCAAAATTAGCTTATTTGTGTTGAGTTGGCTTGACTCGAAATGACTCTATTTGGAGTCAGTTGAAATAAATTTTGACCAGTTGAAATAAATTTTGAATTGTCTTTATATATATATATATATATACACACACACACAACAAACAACAACATCAAGTCTTTATCCCACTATATAGGATCGGCTACATGAATTTTTTCTCTCAATTGTGCCCTGTTAAAAGTTAAATTCTCATTTAAATCTAATAAAGAAAGGTCATTTCTAATATTTTATAACCAAGTCTTTTTAGGCCTAGCTCTTCCTTTTTAACATAAGTAAAATCTAATACATCTATTTTCCTAACCTGGTCATCGGAAGGCTACCGTTTTATTTGACCATACAATCTAAAGTAACTCTCTTTAATCTTATCTTCCACTGGAGCTACTCCAACATTTTTCACGTATATGCTCATTTCGTATCCTGTCTCTAAGAGTAAAGCCACTCATCCACCTAAGCATCCTCATCTCTACAACACTTAACTTAATATTATGCTTCTCTTTTAATGACCAACATTTTGCACCATAAAGCATTGCAGATCTAACCACAATCTTATAGAATTTTCTCATAAGTTTGAGGGGGGCTTTTCTATCACACAACAAGCCCGTTGCATTCCTCCACTTCAACCATCCAACTTGAATTCTACTAATAATATTCCCATCTATTTCAACATTGCTCTAAACAATAGATCCAAGATATCTAAAATGTGTACTCTTATTAATGTAATCCAACACAAATAGGAAAATACTTGTCAAACCACCTTGTATTTGAACACAAATAACAACACCTGCATACATATCCCTAATAACTTGAATATAAGCATTATTAACTCTTTTCTATTCTAAAACTTTCCATGGCACTTTTCTTGGAACATAATCATATGCTTTCTCTAAATCAATAAATATCATATGAAGATTCTCCTTATTCTCTATATGCTTCTTCATCAATCCAAAATAAATGAATAGCTTCAATAGTAGACCACCCAGCATGAATCCAAATTGATTTTGAGAAGCATTAGTATCACGTCGTAACCTATGCTAGCAATCAGCTTTCTAGCACTATCTTAGAAAAAACAAAGGCCCAACTAGCATTCTAGAAATCAGCATAACAATTTGTAATTGAAGCAGATTAGAAATGGAATTATTTTTACATGTCTCTAACACACCCCTACTTATAATCACATATCCTCCCTCAATTTGCAAACTAAAAAAAATCAAAACATAAGTTAGCAATCTCATTCGAAAGGATAACAGCCATTGAAATCGTACAAGTGGAAGTCACAGCCAGCATAGAGATCCTAATACAGCAAGAGTCACAAGCCAGCTACATCAACAGAAGATCACAAGTCATGGGAGGAAAGGGAGGGAGCTTGCATCACCATTTCTAATTTAATATTTTTGCATTCTTTCTAGATGACAACTTGATTTAGATAATTTTCTTCAAGCACTAAAATCAGTGCGATATCATTCTGCATCAGCATGTCTGGTTCTATTTTACCATTAGCATGCATAGTTATATGTGAATGAAAGTGGTTTCATTGCATAAAACCAACTTAAAAATCGATGTGCTTTTCTCTTGCTTCCTCTCTTTTTTTGCATACAGGCTACTACATTAATTGTGGTGCAGCCACCGAGGATAACATTGATGGCATCCCATGGATCCCCGATGAAGGCTTTGTAATTGGAGGCAATGTGTCTCAAATATACACTCCAGGCATCATTCCATTGCTATCGACTTTGAGATATTTCCCTGATACAAAAGCCAGAAAGTGCTGCTTTGTAATTCAAGTTAGCAAAGGAAGCAAGTATATCGTGAGAACCACATACTTCTATGGTGGCTTTGATGGCGGAAAAGAACCACCTGTGTTTGATCAGATCATTGATGGCACAAGATGGAGCACCGTTGACACCTCCCAGAACTATGCCGCTGGCCTCACCTCCTATTATGAGATTATGGTTGCAGCCCAGGGGAAAACTATAAGTGTGTGCCTTGCAAGAAATGCCAACACGGCCTCGGCTTCGAGCCCATTTATTTCTGCTCTTGAGGTGCTGAGCTTGGAGAACTCCATGTATAATTCAACTAACTTTGCAGAATATGCTCTCAGTACAATAGCCCGCCACAGCTTCGGCCATAAAAACAGTTTCATTAGGTATGTTAAGCTTTTAGCCTGTAAAATTAAAATGAACCATGAGCTGCTCATGCTTTCTTCCAAAGCTTATATACTTTTAATAGTGGGTTTTTGTTCCTGGATTTATTGTTGCATTCGCGTCTTTCTTGCTCGTTTTTGTGTGCAACATGGTTAAATATTCTTTTTGTGCATTTTTATGCTAATCAGTGAATTGACCATGAGCTGTTCCTGCTTTCCTCCTGGTGTGAAACCGTAACCTGCAAGAGAAATGCACAGAAGCAGAACAATAGATAGGAGGAGAAGGAGAAGAGAATCTGAAGAAGAAGAAGAAGAAGAAGAAGAAGAAGAAGAAGAAGAAGAAGAAGAAGAAGAAGAAGCTGTGGAGAAATGGGTAAAAGCAGTTTTCAATATAATATCATCTGCTTTGCTGCCTAAGCTCCAGTCCTAATATAAACTGTAAAACTAAAAGAGGAAACGTTCTTCCAAAAGCAGAGTAAGAAGGCAGTAAGGGAAAAAGCAATAAAACAGTAACATGCGGTAGTGGAGCAGGCCGTTAATCGGTATAATGGGGTAAGTTGATCCGCAGGAGTAAGATAGTCCACATCATGTCTCCCCTGGCTCGAGAATTTCCTCATCTGAGGAAATGGTGTGGATGACGCCTGCATCAGAAGATTTATAAGCAAAGAGATCAGATACGTTAAAAGTTGCTGGAGTGTGGAATTCCGGAGGAAGATCCACGACGTATGCATTATCATTGATACGGCGGATGATGGGCACGGGTCCGATCTTGCGTGGGCTGAATTTAGAATATGTTCCAGGTTGGAATCGTTCTCGGCGCATACGAACCATGACGAGGTCGCCCGGGTTGAAAACTACCTTTCTCCGATGAGCATCAGCTGCCAGTTTATAGCTGTCATTGGCCGCGGACAGCTTGGCTTTTACATCTTCTAGCATCTTGGTGTAGTTTTCAGTCGTTTGCAACGCCGACTTGCTCTTGCATTTAGGGAGTATAGCGATGTCCACCACATGGTTGGGCAATTTCGTATAAACGATGCTAAATGGGCATTGCCCGGTTGACCGGTTGGCCATGGAATTATAAGCAAATTCTGCTTGGCCTAAATAATCATCCCACTGTTTTGGATGTTCATGGGCGATACAACGTAGCATGCTGCTTAGTGAGCGATTAACCACCTCAGTCTGGCCGTCGGTCTGAGGATGGTATGCCGAGCTGAGCTTGATTTCTGTCCTCAATCGTTTCCACAGTTCGCGCCAGAAGTGGCTAACGAATTTGACATCGCGGTCGGAGGTAATGCTACGAGGTAAGCCATGGAGACGGACAATTTCTTTAAAGAAAAGAATGGCCACATTAAGGGCGTCGAAGGTCTTCCTACAAGCGAGGAAGTGGGCCATTTTCGAAAACCTGTCTACCACGACCATGATGGAGTCAGCACCCCGCTTAGTTCTTGGCAAACCCAAAACAAAATCCATGCTTAAATCTTCCCAGATTGAATTGGGAACCGGTAGAGGCATGTACAGACCGGTATTCTGAGCTGACCCTTTGTAAACCTGGCAGATGGGGCATTTTTCCACAAACCGCGTAACATCACGCCTGAGATGGGGCCAAAAGAACCTGCTTTGCATTTGCTCAAGTGTTTTGGTCCGGCCGGCATGAGCAGCTAAGCCGCCACTATGCAATTCTTGAATAAGGTATTCCCGCCACGAAGACTCAGGAATACATACTAATCCCGCTTTAAAGAGGTAATTATGTGAAATTGAGTAGTCATGAAAGGAGACGGTGGAGGAATTGGAGAGTTCGGCCCAAGGTGCTGCGAAGTCTTTATCCGTTGCATATAATTCTTGAATACTCGATAGTCCCTGGAGTTCGGTTTGTAGCTGAACGACTAGCGCCGAGCGCCGGCTCAACGCGTCGGCAACTCTGTTTTGCACTCCGGACTTATGCTTGAGAACGAAGCTGAACCGCTGTAGGAATGTGGTCCATCTTGCGTGCATTTTGTTCACCGTCTTCTGACTATTTATGAATTGGAGTGCTTGATTGTCGGAACACAGGACAAAATCTTGGTGGAGCAAGTAATGTTCCCACTGCTTCAATGCTCGAACCACGGCATAAAATTCTTGCTCATAAGCGGACCAGTTCTGGCGGGATGGGCTTAGTTTCTCACTGAAAAATTCAACGGGGCGACCTTCTTGCGAAAGGACAGCTCCAATGCCCACAGAGGATGCATCAGTGTCGACAAGAAATGGTTTGTCGAAGTCGGGGATGGCCAACACCGGAGCTGAAGTGAGTGCACCTTTTATGGTGTCGAAACTGTTCTGCTGCTCATTTGTCCAATGCAGCGACTTGTCTTTGAGACACTCCGTGAGGGGCGCTATAATAATGCTGAAACCGCGGATAAATCGGCGGTAGAAGTTCGCCAAGCCAACGAAGCTCCGAATTTCTGGGATTGATTTTGGCGTTGGCCATTCTGCTATAGCACGGACCTTCTGTGGATCCGTCAGGACGCCGTCGCTAGAAATAACGAAGCCCAGGAAGTGGACAGAACCTGTTGCAAACTCACATTTGGGAAAATTAAGATAGAGTTTGTGCGCCTTCAGAATTGCAAAAACAGATGATAAATGTTCTAAATGAGCTTGCAGAGATGGGCTAAACACAAGGATGTCGTCAAAATAGACGACACAACACTTCCCCAAGATTGGTTTGAGAACTTCGTTCATGAGGCGCATGAATGTTGCTGGAGCGTTACACAAACCAAACGGCATGACTCGCCATTCGTACAATCCCTCTCGTGTCTTAAATGCAGTCTTCCATTCATCGCCGGGTCGGATGCGGATTTGGTGGTACCCGCTGCGCAAGTCAAGCTTCGAGAAAATAGTGGCCCCGGTGAGCTTGTCGAGCATATCATCGAGACGAGGCACAGGAAAACGGTATTTAACCGTTATTTTGTTGATGGCCCTGCTGTCGATGCACATCCGCCAGGTTCCGTCTTTCTTCAGAACCAGGAGCGCGGGAATGGCGCACGGACTCAAACTGGGCTGTATTAGACCCTTGCTTAGCAAATCCTCAATCATCCTTTGCAATTCTTCATGTTCCCGTGGAGTCATCCGATAATGTGGCAAGTTTGGCAGCGTGGCTCCTGGCTGCAAATCAATGTGATGTTGGAGACTACGCATAGGAGGTAGCGCTGCGGGAAGTTCTTCGGGCCAAATATCTTTATAGCTCTGCAATAATTCCTGTACATCAGTTGGCAAATCTGCCAATTGACTATCCGGATGGGAATCAGCGACCATCAGGGCAAGCATATCCGACGACTCCTTCCAGGAATCGATTAGATTTGGTCCAGAGACGATCAGCATGGCTGTCTTCTCCAAGCTGGTCTTGCTGTCCGGTTGAGAGAGGTTGGGCCATAACCTGATCTTGCGGCTCTTCCAATCAAAGGTAAAAGTGTTTGCTCTGCCATCGTGTATGGCCCCAACATCGTACTGCCACGGCCGGCCAAGAATTATGTGACAGATGTCCATATCAAGAACATCGCACAATACTTCGCAGATGTAGCTCTTCCCGATTGTAAAAGATACCCGGCACATGTCCGATACAGGGATCTCAACACCCTTTTTAACCCAGCTGATTTTGTAAGGGTTCGGGTTCTTCGTGGTCTTCAATTGAAGCTTCTGAACCACAGAACGAGCTATAATATTTTCGGTACATCCCCCGTCGATTAGCAGGTCGCAAACTTTACCATTCACGGTACATCGGGTGCGAAAGATGGAATGACGTTGGGAATTACCAGCTTGGCGGGGAGCTAATAACAACTTCTCCAATACGCACACTAGGGGATCCCCTTCGTCCGCCTGTAAGTCTTCAAAGTCTTGTTCATTCACCAAGTCAGCACTATAGTGATCACCCTCCGGGTCCCCTTCTAATAATTGGAGCTGCTGACGGTTTGGACAGTCGTTTGATTTGTGCCCCGGCTGAAAGCATCGATAACACTTAAGCGTTGTAGGCTTAGTGTAAGGATTGTTCTCTTTCACTGGGAACCGTGGCTTCAGCGCAGGCGTTGTTTTTGGCTCCGCTCCCAGAATTCCGGCGCCTGCGTTCGGAGGTGGAGCAGCTTTGCTACTGCCAGCAATGAATGAGGAAGCTTTGTTGGTATCCCCTGTGGAATCAGCATTGTACCTTCGTGGCGTTTGAGTCTTAGAATGCCTATTGAGCTGAATTTCGGCCTTGAGAGCATAATTCACTGCTTGTGATAATGTCCAGACAGAGTTAAGCTCCAACTTGTCCTGGATGCTCTCCTTCAGTCCCCCGATATACCGTGCAACAAGCTGATTTTCGGATTCACTGAGATCATTTCGAGCGCTGAGTCTATAGAACTCCTCCGTATATTCATTCACAGTCCTGTTGCCTTGTATACAATGCTGATATTGGAGGTAGAGCATTTGCTCAAAATCTGTAGGCAGAAAATGACCCCGCAGGAGCCTTTTCATCCGACGCCAACTGGTGATCTTGCCTTTACCTTCCCGCCTTCTTGTTTGTATCAGCTGCATCCACCATGCTCCAGCACCGCCTTTCAAACGACAGACGACATATTTCACCTGTTTTTCAGGTGCAATTTCCATATAATCGAAGAAGGCTTCGACGGCTCTCTCCCGGTCCAAATATTCTTCTATGTTTAACCTGCCGTCGAAGAAGGGAATGTCTAGCTTCACACGGAATTCCCCATGAGAACGCTGGTGTTCCAGTTGTCGTCGGGGTGGTCCGAGCTGAATCGGGCGCTCTTCCTCCGATGAGTCGGACGCGTCCAGGGCTTGTTGCGTGTCGGAATCTGAGGCGGTTTGCTGGATTGTGTAGCGACGTTGGTAATGTCGCGGTATTGGTGCCGGTGCTGGTGTGAATGGGCGGTCTATCACAGGCGTTTGCCGATTTGTTCTTAAGGCTCGGATCTCAGTCCGCATCTCAGTAGAAAATCGGAAGAATTCGTTAGTGAGTACCTCCATTTGACGTGCGATAGACGTTTGAGCATTCCACAGTGCTTCCAAACTGCGGTCCTCGTCGGCCGTCGGGCGTTTGCTTCCTTCCGCCATTGATGCTCGCAGCCTAGCTCTGATACCAATGTGGTGTGAAACCGTAACCTGCAAGAGAAATGCACAGAAGCAGAACAAGAGATAGGAGGAGAAGGAGAAGAGAATCTGAAGAAGAAGAAGAAGAAGAAGAAGCTGTGGAGAAATGGGTAAAAGCAGTTTTCAATATAATATCATCTGCTTTGCTGCCTAAGCTCCAGTCCTAATATAAACTGTAAAACTAAAAGAGGAAACGTTCTTCCAAAAGCAGAGTAAGAAGGCAGTAAGGGAAAAAGCAATAAAACAGTAACATGCGGTAGTGGAGCAGGCCGTTAATCGGTATAATGGGGTAAGTTGATCCGCAGGAGTAAGATAGTCCACATCACTAAAGATATATATATACACACACACAACAAACAACAACATCAAGTCTTTATCCCACTATGTAGGATCGGCTACATGAATTTTTTCTCTCAATTGTGCCCTGTTAAAAGTTAAATTCTCATTTAAATTAATAAAGATAAGTCATTTCTAATATTTTATAACCAAATCTTTTTAGGGCTGATCCTTAATGTAATCCAACAAAAATAGGAAAATAATTGTCAAACCATCTTGTGTTTGAACACAATTAACAACACCTGCATACATATTTCTAATGACTTGAATATAACAATTATTAACTCTTTTCTTTTCTTAAACTTTACATAGAACTTTTCTTGGAACTTAATCATATGCTTTCTCTAAATCAATAGACATCACATGAAGATTCTCCTTATTCTCTCTATGCTTCTCCATCAAACCTCTCAATAAACAAATAGCTTCCATAGTAGACCCACCCGGCATGAATCCAAATTGATTTTGAGAAACATTAGTATCACGTCATAACTTATGCTAGCAATCAGCATAACAATTTGTAATTGAAGTAGATTAGAAATGGAATTATTTTTACATTTCTCAAACACGCACCTACTTATAATCACATATCCTCCCTCAATTTGTAAACTAAAAAATCAAAATGATAAGTTGGCAATCCATTCGAAAGGATAACAGCCATTGAAATCCTACAAGAGGATGTCACAGCCAGCATAGAGATCCTAATACAGCAAGAGTCACAAGCCAGCTACATCAACAGAAGATCACAAGTCATGGAAGGAAAGGGAGGGAGTCTGCATCACCATTTCTAATTTCATTTTTGCATTATTTTTAGATGAGAGCTTGATTTAGATAACTTTCTTCAAGTAAGCACTAAAATCAGTGCGATATCATTCCGCATGGGCATGTCTGGTTCTATTTTACCATTAGCATGCATGGTTATATGTGAATGAAAGTGATTTTATTTCATAAAACCAACTTAAAGATCAATGTGCTTTTCTTTTGCTTCCTTTTTTTTTTTTGGCATAATGATTCGTAATTTCCATCTCATGTCATACAGGCTACTACATTAATTGTGGTGCAGCCACCGAGGAGAACATTGATGGCATCCCATGGATCCCCGATGAAGGCTTTGTAATTGGAGGCAATGTGTCTCAAATATACACGCCAGGCATCATTCCCTTGCTATCGACTTTGAGATATTTCCCTGATACAAAAGCCAGAAAGAGCTGCTTTGTAATTCAAGTTAGCAAAGGAAGCAAGTATATGGTGAGAACCACATACTTCTATGGTGGCTTCGATGGCGGAGAAGAACCCCCTGTGTTTGATCAGATCATCGATGGCACAAGATGGAGCACCGTTGAGACCTCCAAGAACTATGCCGCTGGCCTCACCTCCTATTATGAGATTATGGTTGCAGCCCAGAGGAAAACTATAAGTGTGTGCCTGGCAAGAAATGCCAACACGGCCTCGGCTTCGAGCCCATTTATTTCTGCTCTTGAGGTGGTGAGCTTGGAGAACTCCATGTATAATTCAACTAACTTTGCAGAATATGCTCTCAGTACAATAGCCCGCCACAGCTTCGGCCATAAAAACAGTTTCATTAGGTATGTTAAGCTTTTAGCCTGTCAAATTAAAATAAACCATGAGCTGCTCATGCTTTCTTCCAAAGCTTATATACTTTTAATAGTGGGTTTTGTTCCTGGATTTATCTTCGTTTGTCATTCATTCGCATCTTAATTGCTCGTTTTTGTGTGCAACATGGTTAAATATTTTTTTTTGTGCATTTTTATGCTAATCAGTGAATTGACCATGAGCTACTCAAGCTTTCCTCCAAAACTTATATACTTTTAATATTGGGTTTTTGTTCCTTGATTTATCATTATTTGTCATGCACTCGCCTCTTCTTGCTCGTGTTTGTGTGCAAAGTGGTTAAAGATTCATTTTGTGCATTTTTAAGTGTTGGATATTGGTCCAGGATTTAGGTAATTTCTTGAATGACTTGTATTGTCATCGGTGTTGCTTTTTTTGTATAGCTTGTTTTGTAGCTATTTTGTGCCTATAAATAGGCTATATGCTGTAATAGGTTGGTATGATTAAGCAATAAAGGACTTGTGTTCTGCCATCTCCCTCTTCCCTTCCCTCTCTCAATATCAAGAAGAGGAAGTGCTTCTTCCTCTCAAGCAAGATCTCACATTAAGCTTATCTGTAAATTGAATCTCATCATCTCAAAAAAAATTCCACTCAATGTTGTTCCTGCAAGTAGCTATCCAGATGATCCTTTCAACCGGTACTGGCAATCATTCATTGACACCAATCCTGTTGTCGAATGCCACTCAAACATTTCATCTTCAGACTTTTGGAACTTCCCTCCACCTGCTGCATTGATGAAGGGTCTCACAACGAGCAGAGGGAAAGATCTGCATATAAATTGGCCTCCTTTTGATATCCCAGACACAAGCTACTACATAGCCCTCTACTTCCAAGATAATCGAACTCCCAGCCCATTCAGCTGGAGAGTATTTGATGTTGTGATCAATGGTAAAACCTTCTATCAGGACCTTAATGTCTCAACAGAAGGTGTCATGGTCTACGGATCGCAGTGGCCACTTTCCGGTGAGACGAACATTAAGCTGACCCCAGCTTCTGACTCTCCGGTCGGTCCGGTCATTAATGCAGGAGAGATTTTTCAGATAGTTCCTCTAGGTGGAAGGACTCTCGCAAGAGATGGTAAGTGTCCGCTTTTAACACGTTTGAGATGAATACTTTTTGTGTACAAGTATAGCTTTTTAATCTCCTGATGTCTTGATGTTTGGTACAGTAATTGCAATGGAGAATATAGCAAGAAGCTTTACTAATCCACCACCAGATTGGAAGGGAGATCCTTGCTTGCCCAAGGAAAATTCATGGGCTGGTGTGACTTGTGATATTAATGGTGGTTTTGCTATAGTAGCCAAGCTGTAAGTCCAAGTAAGCCTATTATTTAGTCTCTAAACATTAAGGGGCTGTTTGGCAACAAGTGGGATTAAATTTAGTGGGATTGATTTAGTAAACTCGAAATGTGTTAAATCCTGAAAACTGTTGGGTATGTTAAATGTTAAATCTTGTTAAATCCTAAGAAACTGTTTGGTAACATATTTTAAGATTTATGACAGTTAGGGATTTAGATGTGAAGCAAATAATTATGAATTAAAAAATAAATTTATAATTAAAAATAAAAATTTATGTGTTATGAATTTAATAACATATTAAGTATAAATTACTCATTAATTATTATTTACACTATTAATTATATATTTAATAATATATATTTTAAGTTATATTAATTAAGCTAATCATATTAATATTTAATTACTAATTATACAATTACGTTAAATTAGATAATTAATTTATGCACTAATTATACTATTAATTATTTAATTAATTAATCTAATTATTATTATTTTAAATTATATTAATTAAGTTAATCAATAATAACTTAGTGGCGTCTAGTGTTTGCCTTTCATCTTCTGTTTTTGTCGTTGTTGTTCGGCTTCGTTGCTTCGCAGGAGGTGTATAGATTGCACACGTCGCTTCTTCGGCTCCTTCGTGTCTGTTCGACTTCGCTCCTTCGACGACTCTCCCTTCCTGTCGGATCTCAAGCTACGACATTTTGATCGGAAGCAAGAACAGGAGCTCGTTGGCTGCGAAGTTAACTTTCTCCCTTTCGTGCGCTTCTAATGTTAAATCCCGTTAAATCCGCCGAACCAAGGGATTTAGTAAATCTGGGATTTACAGAATCCCGGGATTTAACGCGCGCACAAAAATTGTTTGGCTGGATTTAGCATAAATCCAACTTAAATCACACGAGAAATCCGATACCAAACAGCCCCTAAGATTTTATTCAATCTGAATTGATCATCTTGTCTCTCTTTCAGAAATCTGACAAATTTTGGCATATCTGGACATTTATCGAATAGCATCGGAAATCTACTTGCAATCAGGAACATGTGAGAGTGCTGAGACTCGTATCTAGTGAATTATAATACAGCCCATTGAGATTTTGACGTGAATGTTAGATTTTTGCTTGCAGTTGGCTCTCTGGAAACAAACTCGCTGGTAAAATTCCACAAATGGGCAATTTGAAGGAGTTGACCTCTCTGTAAGCTTCACATTTTTCGCAATATTCTCTCATTTTACGCTCATTGTTTATATTTTCTCTCCTGTGCAAAGGCGTTTGGCTGACAATGAACTTACTGGATCGATCCCATCTTTTCTAGCAAACCTTCCAAAAATTAAGGAGATGTAAGTATCAATTTTTTTTACTCTAATGTACATTTTTGTTAGCTTTCTGATGGGCTAACAGTTCATATTCGCCATTGGAAGTTTTCTGCAAAAAAACAAGTTGTCTGGCCCGATACCACAGAGTCTGAAAAACAAAAGTGGGATTGATCTCCGGTAAGTTTAGACTTGATAAGATTTTACTTTCTTAGGCCATCTCTAACCAAACTCCAAACGCTTGAATGGCGTTGCTCGCAAGCTCCAACCGAACGGTAAAACTTCCGCTATTTTGTTACGGGTGAACCGTGGAACGTGAATATTGACGTTGCACGGCTAATCTCCGCTATTTTTCTGTCTCTACTGAACTTGCCGAAGAAACGCGCCAAAGAAGAGAACGACCGTTACCTTGACAAAAGGGGACAAAAAGGAGTTCAGTTGGAGATGAATAACAACATTTTAGAGTGAAAAATGAGATTTTTGGTTGGAGATGCCATTATAGAAATGAAATCTTTCTTCTTGACTTCATTTTCTGTTGGATTTCTTGTAGGATTTCTCCCGGCAATCAACTTGAGATGTAAATAATATGAAAACTGCTAACTTGATTTGCTGAACAGTCCGAGTATTTTTTGCCAGTTAAAGAACTTCTTGACTTTGGTAAGAGGAATGTATGGTTGGGCTTATAGCAAGGATGAAGAAAGGATAGAAATTGATGATTCGTTGTTTTTGGTTTCCTTTTGCTATTTGTTGAAAACAATGATGGAATAACAAATTTAATTAAAATATGGACCTTATTTGGTAGTTGGATAGTTTGCATTTCATTTTTATCCTTCTCTTTTATTATTATTATTATTATTTTTAATCCTTCTCTTAATGCAATTAGAATAGGTATTAGCTAAACAGGAGATATGTGACCTACAGGTTTTGACCAATTAAATTAGCTATTAAGATAAATATAATAGAATCCTACTTAAATACAATACATTAAACAAGTTTTCAAAGGATAGAAATAGCTTAAATATTTTTGTTGGAGATAAATAGAACACAAAATCCATTATAGAGTCCGAAGCTATTGTGTAGAAAATAATTTTTTTAAAATTGATGTAAAAAGCAGTTTTATAATATAAAAATTTATTGAAAGCATTGAAATAGTAATCGTTAAATAAAAATTGTTATTGCAATTTGAAAATCAAAATTGTAAGAGAGTTGTCTTAAATAAAGTTATAAGCACATAAATTCTATGCAGGGATCAACTTAAAATATGACTAATGAAATTTGAACTTCAGATTTTTACTTTAAGGATCATCCTATTTGAGCTAGAATATGTTTGTTTATTTTGAATATTAATAAATGATATTTTTAAAGATTAATTTTTTTAGAAGGGGAAGCAAACTCAAGAACTATATATATTTATTTGAAAAAAATTATGTGAATACCTTTTTAAAAGATACTTAACAGCATGCTAAAATATTCTAATGTTTCATTTGGGAAGGCTTTTTTACTGCTTCTTAAAACAATTTTTTAGTTTAAAAAATTTAATATTTTTTATTAAAAAATTGTTTTAAAAAGCAATAAAAAAGTCACCCCAAACGAAGCTTAAATCTATTAAGATTATAGAGCTATGATAGATTAGAATTGACAAAAAAATAAAGGTATACAAATTCTTTAGATCAAGGGGATTTCAGATGCCGAATGTTGGCCATTAAAAGAGAAGCATAATACTAAGTTAAGTGTGGCAGAGATGAGGATGCTCAGGTGGATGAGTGGCTTTACCCTTAGAGATAGGATACGAAATGAGCATATACGTGGAAAGGTTGGAGTAGCTCCAGTAGAAGATAAGATTAGAGAGAGTCGCCTTAGATGGTTTGGTCACATAAAACGGCGGCCTTCCGATGACCCGGTTAGGAGAGTAGAGATATTAGATTTGACTTATGTTAAGAAAGGTAGGGGTAGACCTAAAAAGACATGGTTAGAAAATATTAGGAATGATCTTTCTTTATTAGATTTAAACGAGAATTTGACTTTTAATAGGACACAATGGAGAAAAAGGATTCATGTAGCCGACCCCATGTAGTGGGATAAAGGCTTGATGTTGTTGTTGTAAGGGGATTTCAGATGATTGAAAAATAATAATTATTATTTAAAATTAAACTTGTGGTTCAGTGTGTTGGAGATGATAGAAAATAGTCAATTTTATGCCATAAAATGAACCCATTGAAAAAGATGAACAAGAGCATAGAAACTTCATATCAACATTGAAGAATAATTTTTTTTTTTTAATGCCAGATTTGTTTTCAAGGCATTTTTTCTAACACCATTGATGAAAAAAAATTGTAAAAAACAAAAACACCAAGCAGGTAATTCTATTAAATTTGTTAAAAATATATAAATAATATTTTATCTCAGCACTATTATAAACACTTTCCAAAATACAATGTAATAATTCGGGATATATGGATCATGATTTTGATTCTGGTCACGTTTGCTGCTCAAATTCAATACCAAAGTGGCAAATAAGGCTTTAAAAAAAAAAAAAAAACAATAAGGCTTTTAGAAGATAAATAAGTTGGCTATATGAAGTCCAATTAATTGAGCCAAACTCAAGCCTTCCACTACAAATGGTCCTCACAACTTAAAAAACATGTTGATTATAAGATATCCGACTGAAAACTCTATTTATAACACAAAAATGCAATAACAGTCATATCAAAAAGTAATTCATCACCCACCGAACTCCATATCGAACATTAAAAAAAATATTTTGTGTATATTTTTCTCCTCCAACCCAAAACTTCATTTCAAACACAAAAAATGGGTTTGTGAACGAACAATTATTAGGGCCTCCGACCGGACGTAGAGGAACGTCCGGTCGGCACTAAAATCCCGCCAAAAACTCGGTATTGCTAGGTATTATTTGGTAATAACGAGGAATACCGCTCTGTGAAGACCAATACCGAGTTATACCGAGCAATACCGAGTTATACAAAAAAATACCGAGTTTTTTCTATCAAAAACTCGGTATTTTTTTGTATAACTAGGTATAGCTCGGCATAACTCGGTATTGGGTCTTCACATGATGGTATTCCTCGTTATTGTTTGGTATTGCTCGGTATTTGCTCAGTAATAATAGAGCAGTGCAACTTGAAATTGCACTATTTACGGCCGCGGAATTACAGCTCGAAATACCGTTCAAGTGCTCCAGGCACCAGACTACAAACGCGTGTATAGGGTTTGGTTGGAGATGCCCTAAGTGATTTTCTTAGCACATCCATCGAATATGCATTATATTCTGTTTGATCATTATATACAAATAATAATTGCATGACATCCAACTACCAACTTATATTAGCTAAAAACAATAATTGAATCTACAACATAACACTTACCTCTACAACAATCTTTGGCGAACTTCTGACCCGCTTTACAGCCATGTAGAAAGATTGATTAATCATATGCGAAATGCTCAGAATTATTCAATATATTTGATTTTGAAATAAGGAGGCACAAAAAAAAAAACTCTTTGCCGATGCAAAATAATAATAATAATAATAATATAGACAAAATTCGATGCAGAAATTTGGCAACACATTCCAAGATCGTTGGACAAACATCAGTAGATCTTACAACATAAGACAGGATTGGTGGTTTATAGTTGTTAGGTTTGAGATCAAATGTTTTTCCAGCTCAGGTAACGAGTAGTGGTTGATCTCACATACAGCTAGTACTTCTATAGTCTCTAAACAAAAACCTACCATGGAAATTCATCTATATATTAGGAAGATAAAGGGAAAATTTTACTAATTCTGCATGCATTTGCCAAAGATGATAGTTTCCTTGCACATTGCGGTAGTTTTCCTTCTCGCAGTAGAACAAGTCTGAAGAACACCAGTTGAAGAGAACTGAAGGATGAAATAATATACAGTTAGCGTTCGTTAAAAAGCACTAAGGCTTTATTTGGGACAATTTTTTTACTGCTTCTTCAAGAAGTTTTTTAGTAAAAAAATAAATTTTTATACTAAAAAATTGTTTTACGAAGCAATAAGAAAGACGTCCCAAACGAAGCCTAAATCTTTATTTCAAAAATGTCTTATCTGAATAGGAAACCTTGTCATATATATATATATATATATATATATATATATGTTAACGGCAGATGAATAAACGAAGAGACGCGATAGAAAGTAGCATGGGATTTATTTCGTGAAAACCTTGTCATGTTGTGTTTTTATTGAGCAACAAACCTCCAGGATTAATTTAATGGCAATTTCAAGTCATATAAATACTTGTACGATGTAATATTAGAATTATGTATAGTTTTCCATTCACGATTTGGAAGTACTCATAAAAAGAGATAAAAATGCTACCTCTTTGTACATGTAAGATTGATTCAAATCCTCTCAAATTAGCATGGCAATTAAAGGATGAAGTTAGAAAATCTCAACCATCCAAAATGGATGGAATTTTTATAATATATATTAAAAATTATATAAATTATAATGATGTATTTAAAGTGTTATTATGGTTATAAAGAAATATTTTAAAATAACCATGTTAGGATTGGTACAGTACAGTTTTAGGTTAAGTTGTTTCAAAAGACATTACACCGTTGTCAATGCCCATATATAGATGCTATAGGTTGATTTATTGGCGGGAAAAATTGAATAAAAATTTTAGTATTGTTTTCCTTCAAATTTTGCTCTCCCTCTCCTATATCTCTTTCTCTTCCAAGAAGAATAGATTCTTCGTCCAAGAATCACAACAAACTAGTATCAAAGCCTGGTGGAGGCAATCTTGACGATGGAGGAAGGTGTTCTTGGGTGAAGCAAGAAAGGGAGCACACGGGAGGTGCTGTTCTAATCACCGCGAAGTTGTTCAGCCAAAAATGTGGAGCGCGGGTTTCTCATGCGGACGGGTTGCAGGCGATTTCAAGTCACGTAGGAGGCAATGACAAGCGGAGTGGCCTCATTCGGTTGGGAGAAACAGAGGTCAAACACAGACGTCACAGACAAAGCAAAGGCGAATCGCTCGGGACCGACTGTTGCGCTCGCGTGTGGGTGATTGGGCTGGAATAGGTCCAAACGTGGGCTAGATTTCGGCTAGACGGTGATCGGACCATGCTGGGAGGTGCAATTCACATGGCTTTGGATCGCGATCGCAGGCAAGGCGGGTGGAAGTGCAGCTGATCGAGTTGGTGCCGCAACAGTGTAGGACGAGCGTGATTTCGTACGGGTGTGCCTGGGAGCTAGGCACGCAAGGAAGCAGGCGTGTATGAGGTAGCTGCAGACGTGTAGGGGGTAGTTGCAGTCGTGGTTGTGGTAGCCTACTGATGCAAGTGTCGGAGCGGGAGTCGGGTTCACGACTTGCGGTTCCCGCAGGTGCCGCGATCAGGAGTTGCGACTTCGGTGGCTTGTGAGATCTCGTGCACGGGAGCAACAAGGAGGTATTTTTGGCAATTTTCGATGAGATCTTGTGCACGGGAGAAGGTTGGTGTCGTGCGGGCGCGGGATCGATTAAGGTGGAGCCTCCAGGACGGAACACGAGCAAATCTGTAAGCAAAGTCGTTTGGGTTTGATGTGTTGGAGCAGCGAAGAAAAAATCACTGGATCAAGAACCTCGGGGCTGTAGGATCAAGTACATCATATATGAGAAGCACCCACAATTAGTAGTACGCAAGAAGCCAGGCCCTGGATTAGACGGGTGGCTCGTGTAAAGTCGTAGGTAAGAGCACGTATGGGTGCCCAGGGAAGACGGGCAAGCCAGAGGGTACTTAGTGCTGAAGCGCGAAAATGTCGTGCAGGAGTTGGTGATGTATAAGGCACCATGGTGCAGATCACGAGGAATAGTGACAAGCACAGGCACGCTTGGGTTACAACGGGAGAGAGCAGGAGCTGGAGTCGTGGATTGGAACGCACAATGAAGGTCGACCACGAGCGGAATTGGGCTGGGCTCAGCGGGTTTGCTCGTGGAGTTAGTGCATGGAGTCGGTCAGATCGCAATAGGTACGGATTCTTGCGAACAGATGGTTCTTTGATATTTATTGTAAAAACTGGGCAAAGGTGGATATTGTTAGGATTTGTCCAATTTTAGCTTAAGTTATTCCACAAGACATCACACCATTGTCATTGCCTATATATAAATGCTAAAGGCTGATTTCTTGGTGGAGAAAATTGAATAAAACTTTAGTATTATTTCCTCCAAACTTTACTCTCCCTCCATGTATCTCTCTCTTCTAAGAAGAACATATTCTTCCTCCAAGAATTCCAACAAACCTTTTAATCAAAATTATACATCTTATATTCTAAGGAATTAACAATTTATAATCTAATGCATGATGTATTGCATATTTCAATATATATTATTTTAGTATATATAAATTTACATAATATGCAAGAAAAAATGAATTATTATTATTATATATTATACTTATCAAATTTGTTGGATACTTTTTTTGGCGGTGGGGCAATTTGGGCTATCAAAGCAAACTCATACGAACATCACATGCGCAAGTTTTGAATCCAAGGCCTTTTGGTTAATAGTCAAAGCCCCCAACCAACTGACCAAAGTAAGCTACTTTTTTTGATACTTTCACTTTATGCCATAAAATAACTATATATAAACAAAGAAATAAATGACATTTGCTTGTTGGAAAACCAAACAACCTTTACAAAAATGACTTTGTCAACTCCAATTTAAAAATGAAGTGTCACTTCTTCATAGATACGAGGCACAGCACAACCTAAGAAAATCGGCAACACATCTTAATGTATCAAGTACACCCAACTAACCGATATTTAAATGCAAAATAATTATGGCGGAGAAACTAGTTTAAAATTCCAAATTCTAAATGAATACGAAAGGATGCATTCAATGCAACATATTTCATCAAATGTGGGCTCTAAGGAAACTAGGAAAGGTTGATCCCGGCAATATATGCCTACATAGATTAGTGAACACATGACCTGCATATAAATTTAACACTGAAGTTACCTAATAACTGCTCCTTGCCTGCCCACTATTTTTAATCCTAAAATGGTTAAATGATTTAAAAATCAATTAACAGGATGCACTTACAAAGACAACTAATTTGTATTTAACCAATCAAACAAAACACCATAAATCTCCTGAGTTGGATCAGGTTAATAAAAACAGATGATCAAATATGAGGGTAGTAATACCATTTACACACAACTTACTGGTTGCTAGAACTATTGCTCCTGATGCTGATGAAGCTGCATCAACTGCTATAGTAGCCACTGCATCTAATTATGTAGACCTACAAGAGAAATAAAAAAGTAGGAGGACAAGTGAAATATTTGCTTAAATAACAATAAATACATTTAAATGACTAGTTTTGAAAATTGCATCAAATTTTGCTACTGAAAAAAAAAAAAAATTCTTTGAGAAGTGGTTGTGCGAGTTGCATAACAATACTGACTCATTTAGTTGATAAATTAATTTTCTAAGCTTCAATATTACTCTAAAGGAGATTATTAGCAGATAAAATGTCACTTTGTAACCTTAAATGCTGTAGATTTTATTAAATGGAATACTAGAGCATCTCCATCGACCAACTCATGAGCTATAGCAAAGCCCCTCCAACCAGCACTTAAACCATTCTTTGGAGCTAGATAAAGAGTTTCTGATTCATCGTCGTGTTCATCTATTAAAGTAAACCAGGTATCACGATGGGGCAGATGAGAGGAGCAAAAACTCTTAGAAAGCCCCTGTTTAAGAAAGTGAGGCTATATGAGCATGTAATATAACCTATTATAATCCATATAGAACAAGAAAAACTTACAGAGAGTTTAGTGTTATTTATTTCTAAACATTCTCACCAGCCAAAAGCCTCCCGTAACATGAGATATCAGCATTGGCTTGACAAAGCTAGGATACTTCGGATCCAGCTGTGACTGAAGCTCTTCAGCCTTCTCTGTTGCATAGTCCCGTGCTTCATCAGAAGCATACACTCGGTTTTCCAGACCCGCTCTCTTAAATATTCTGAAAATCCAAAGACTGACATCAGCAAACATGTAGCTTGGAATGTAATAAGGTGGGTAATACTTGAATCATGTCATGGATTAACTGACCTGCGAGGCCTTACTATAATCTCAAAAGAAGGTTCCTGCACCAACACAGATAAGTTTCCCTTTAACTTTAGATTTAGACAAACTGTTATGAAATAGGTTGAATTAAAAAAAAAATTTCAGGAGAAACTTAATCAAATAAGTGATGAAATCAGTTTAAATTTCACTAGAAATTAACAGGAAGTTTGCAAGCCATTAATTCTGAACGTGATGTTCTTAAAAGGCAGCTCCCAGTACATAAGAGGAGCAACTCCTAAGAAAGTTTTTAGAACCAATTTTGAGTAAAGCCGAAAAGAAAAAAAAAAAGAAAAAAAGGAAGCTCAAGGAAACCCTTAATTCATGGAAGTCTTCTTAGCACTATCAGCGAATAAAAAAAAATTATATTTTCATATAACGCCCTATCAGTGGCAATCCTTTACAATGTTGTGTTTCCTTTACAATGTTGTGCAAACAGTGGAAACACAACCAGAATCAAAACACAATCAACCCAAGAACACGACGACTTATGTTGTTTAGCGAAGACGCCAACATCCACGGGGAGGGAATGATTTCACTATAATATTGAGAAAAACGAGTTACAATTGGCTCTCACTAGCTCTCTTACATACAGCAGCCCTTAGGCCCTTATTTATAGATTTGAAACACAAATAAAAGTGGAAATCCAATTAATGCTTTTCTAATCAATGAATCAATCAAATCTCCAATCTAATATAATAATCAGATCCCCTAATTAATACACTAAAGAGCCACTAAATTGTTTCTATGTCAATGCTCAGTGGCGGAACCACTTGCATCTTAGGGGGCGCAATTGCCCCCCCTCAAAAAAATTTTTTTTTTTTGTAGGAGTAATAAAAAAAAAAATTTATAAGAGAGTAAAAAAATTTTTTTGCTCCTAAAATTAAAAATTTTTTTTTTGCCCCCCCTAAAAAACTCTTTTGTTCTAACTTGCGCTAAAATATATATATATATATATTTTTTATATTTAGTTCTAATATTCTCTTTCATGCTTTTCATGACAGTTCAATTACAAGTTTTTTCTTCTTTTTTCTTGCTTAATTTTTTTTTTTTAACTTTTCGTAATATATGTAATTATTTTTTAAATATTTAATTATTTTTATGTTGTATTTGCCCCCCCTCAAAATTGAACCTGGTTCCGCCCCTGTCAATGCTCTCCAAGATTTGGAAAGATTTCTAAATCAACATATAGCAATTTAAGACGATGGCTACAAAAAGATAATATAGTACCTAGCATTTCTTATAAAGATTGGTATCATCATCAATTGAAGTTTGGGAAAAAAGCATGCTGCCACAAAGAGCAACGAAACAAAAGTCTGGAAATTAAGCCACTGAAGGTCGTCATAGAGAGGTTAAAGAGTTGGGAACAAACGAAGAACAATAAAAATCAGAACAGCTGTCTCAGAAAGCAATGCTTATGCACACTATAGGAAATGCAACAAACAATATAACTTAATTTGAGAGATTTAGCATTGCTCTTTAAGTGAGAATGGGAAACTTTCAGTTTAAAAAGGGTGTATTCTTTCTGCTCCATTCATTTTATACTACTATGTGGCTTTTCTACAGTGGGTCGGATCTTCTATAATCTCCTGTGAACATAAGCTTACTTTCGCTTAAGCAAATAAAATTAATGTCTTCTTTTATCTCTTTTGTCATTATGTTGTGCATATATCATATTTGCTCTTGATCACATTAAAATTATGTGTTTTAACAACAACCACCATCATATTAGACTGCTCCACCATTGGAATTAAAATTATGTGTTTTAACAACAACCACCATCAAAGGTGAACCTGATGTGTTTGGAATCTACGTGATTGCCTCTGTTTCCTCCTTAGATGGCCCAATTCTGGCAACCAGGTGGCTGTCTGAGTCCAGTTGCTTTGGGATTTTTCCTTTTCATTGTCTTGTTCAGGTTGTTTGGTCGGATACTAACTGTTCTGTTTTCTCATTGTAATTGTCTTATTTGTGGCCTCTTTTTTGGCTTGTGCTGTAATGCCTCTTTTATCTAATGAATTTTTCATTTTTTTTTAACACCTTAAGGGCATTTCAATGCAGCGTTTATACAAGATTTAGTCAAGATATTTCCAAACGATCAAAAAGACCATTTTAAATTGCATTTTTCCTTTGTTAGCCTTAAATCTCATATTTAGTAAACCTTAATATTTTATGTATTTATCAAGTCTCACAAACTTCTCTTCTTGACCCGCTATTTATCCAATCGATGTATTATCCAACGAGCTCCTGTCACAACTTCTTGGCTTCTTTTATCGTCAAGGCTTTCAAGAATTTGAGGATGAGAGAGGGGTTCCATATTTTATAAGATATATTATTTAAAAAGAATTAAATAAGATCTATTAATTAAAATTTTAAATTAATCATAAGAATTAAGATTAATTACCTAAAAAGAAACTAATTTAAATAAATTAATATTATTTGTGATATAATTTGATTAAATATAATTGACTATATTTAATTAATATTATAAGCAACTAATTAATGAGTAATTAGCAGCTTAATCTTGCCTAATTATAATTTAATTAAGAAAAGTAGAATTGATAAAAAGTATTATAAATTAAAATTATAAATACTAAAGCTAAAAAAAAGATATTTATATATATATGTTTATCAGGAAATTAATTTAATTTTGATAACTACTACTACTATTTAATTAAAAGTTATTACCTTAAGTTAATTTACAATAGTTTTTTTTATTTAATTTGTTTAAATATGGGTTATTATTCAATTAAATTAAGTACAATTTAATTAGTCTAATTAAGGTTGATATAAGCAAAACAAATACAACATGATGTTCCAATTATATAAATATTTAAATCCTAAAATAAGTAGTCAAATGGTTTATCTAGATTTAAATGTATTTAACATTTATCATACCAATTTCAAAATTTAACCCACATGGGATTTATTAAATCATATTTGAGTTAAACCCTACTTGCAGCAAAAGAAACCTTTAATGTCTAAAGTTTTTTTGTGGGACATTTAGGCCAATTAAGACAAACTCACACACACATCACATAAGCAAAAATCGAATCCAAAATCTTTTGGTTGGGAGCGGGCAGACCAAAGTGAGTTGTACTTTAATGTCTAAATCACATTACAACATATATGCTAGAAAAGGTTTATTTCAATTTAAATAAGTTAATGCTAGTCCTGTTTTTATATGTGATATGGAGATGAGGATGTTATATACATCAATAAATATAAATGTTTAAGTGTTATATCTGTACATACCTTAAGAGTCTTAAAAGTAATACCATAACTTGCTCAAAAAATGGCCGGGAAAAAAGTTTCTAGCAGGTCTTTTTTGGGCTAGAATTGTACACAACATTTACCTAAAGTTAAACTCAAACTGAACAGGGTCCCCGAGGTCTGTCATGGTTCCTGCTAAAACCGAAGACTTCAAAACTAACATTGTCATTATTGAAGCGTCCTAGAGCTATGAACCATTTAATGAGTTTCTAGAAACCCAAAAAAAAAATAAATTGTTCTAAGAAAAAAAAATAAACATAAAACAAAGAGGTAATAACATTAGGAGAAAGAAGAAGACATTCGGTAGAAAAGCAAAGAAAAGATGAAACGACCTCTTTATAGCTATGCTCAGGCAAATTAGCTATTCGACTGGAGCGCCTGCGAATCACAATTTCTCCCGGAAGCGACTGGGCCTTTCTTTTTAACGGCTTCGCCTGTTTCATTCAAAAGCAATCGAATCAAGAATGCAAGAAAGAACATTTGAGAAACGTTAAAAAAATGCAAAATACGAGGAGTAAGAACAAATGAGAAAAAGCAAAACAAAGCCAAATACGAGAAGGAGATCAAGAGAGAAGCGATAAAAAGTTGATATGGTTGAGGAGAGAAGAGATCTGTACTGGAGAGGTCTTGGGTGAAACAGCTTCACGTAGGGCAATGGTGAGGTGTCCGAGCTTAAGCTCCTCCAGCTTTTTCTTGTTCTCTTCCAGCTTCCTACGGCGGACCTCCTCGTAAGTTATCGTCTCCGTCTCCGTCGCCGTCGCCGTCGCCATCGCTATCAGTCACTGTTCGTGTATGGCAGCCAAGCAAATTGGAATGTCGGAAGCAGCTAGGGAGGGCTGGCTCTGTTGCTCCGAGGACCCTTCAACCACCACTCTTTTAAAAGGGCAAAAAAATATCGCCGTTGATGATGTCGGGCAGAATGGATCCTGGCCGTCCAATACAAATATTATTCATGGTTAGGCTGGCACTTATATAGTAGACGAAACGAGCGGGTCATGATAAGCCGGACTGAGTGTTATTAATTGCCTAAGAGGCCACCAGTCCGATGCGTACACCGTGGATGCAATTCAAATTTCAAATCGTGGAGAAGATGGAAGGCAGCATGGGCCCACCGTTTTCTGTCTTTATAAGAAATAATATAAATATAAATATTATATATTATATTAATATGGTGATTTCTTCCGGGAATCAAACTTTTTTAATTATAAGCGTGAGTATTAAAAAAATAAAAATCTCAATTTTTCAGAAAAAAAATATAGATCCATTATAAAAATTGGCTTAAAATTGTATTTCAAATATCAAATTTTAAATAACACAAGTTTATAATTAAAATGATCATTTAATCATAATAGTTTTAATTACATAAATTATTTGAATTAATGAGTATGTAAGATTTATGCAGCTCACATTGGTCTATTGGTTAGAAGCTTTTGCTACTAATCAAAAGGTATTAAATTCCAATCTTGAGTATGTGATATGTGAGTAAATTTGAATTCATTGATCTAAATGTCCCATAAAAAAAGAGTAAGTAAGAGTTCAATCGGTTGAATTAGTCTAAGCTAGGCAACAAATTATTCAAAAATATTATTTTTACCATATATTTAAGAAGGATGTCGTGCATGGAGAGTGAGGCAGGTTAAATCAATTGGAAAGGGTTCTATTAGATGATCAAAAAAGGGTTGTGGGCTAAGCATAAGCTATGTATGTCGCTATTAAAATATTGGTTGAGAAGGTCATTATGAGGTGCTCGAGGATCGGGGGAGCATAAGCTTAACTCTTATGGCTCAAGAGCTGCTAACGACCTCCTAAGTGGGTTAAGTTACAACATTATTATCCTACATGGGTTGGCAGAAATATTCCATTTACTCGTGGTTAGGGGTGTCCATGGGGATATCACTAATACTATGTCATTGAGAAATCTCATACAAGACTAACTTTTCTTGAACCTATATGAAGACCTATTGGCCAAACACATGAGAGGCATCCATAGAGATTTGCTTAAGCAATTTTTAGACCCTTGCACTATATGTGTTGAGATTGTTAGCCACACAAATTCACAGCAATAACATTTATTTACTACCTACATGTAGCCGTATATATGACCTTAGTTTATATTCTATAAATAGATCTGTAACCGATACTATTGGGTAATAACAAAGTAATATTTTCTCTTTACACTTCTTGTTCTCTGTCTTCTCCTCTGCTTTGTATCCGTCCAGAGCTATGGATTTCTACATGGTATCAAAGCGGATCTTATAATCCTGGCACCTATGGACACTTCGTCTTCCTCCTCATCTCATCTTTCCGCATCTACGGATACGATGCCCCTCGACGCTACCGGAATCAACCCGTCACTGAAGTTCGTTCTTGCAAACCTCAAGAATTTCTTGCATTCTCCTCTTTCCACGGACAATTACCCGATATGACGCTCTCAGATCATCAAAATTCTTCGTGCAAATGGCTTAGAATCATTTCTTGATTCCACTTTTGCCACACCGCCCAAAACCATTCCCAATTCCGAAGGTATCTCGTCTACCAATCCTTCTTACTCGAAATGGGTTTTCACGGATCAAAACCTTGCGGCCGCCATCTGCGCCACTATCTCTGCTTCCATTCTTCCTTACGTGCTCAATCTCGAAACCACCTCATCCATTTGGTCCACTCTTGAAACTCGATTTCAATCTTCCAACCGATCTCGCGTCATTCAATTAAAGAACAAACTTCACAACATTTCCCTCAAAAATTCTACCATGATTCAGTACCTCAACGAAGTAAAAACCATCGTTGATCAAATCGCTGCGGCGGGCTCGACCGTGGACAATGAGGATATCATCCTCTACATACTAAACGGTCTCCCCATGTCCTACCTATCTTTCAAAACCTACATTCGCACGATGCAAACTCCACTAAATCTTGATCAATTATATCCGCTCCTCATTAGTGAAGAAATTCACCTCACTGTTGACAATGCTCGGGCAACATCTATCGCAGACAGCCAAACCGCCCTTTTCGCGTCTCGCGGACGCGGTCGTCGACCAAGAACCAGACCTTAGTCATCTGGAAATCAAAACAAGGAATAATCATCCAAGAATCCGTCTACATGTCAGATCTGCCTCAAGCGAGGTCACATTGCGATGGAATGTTGGCATAGGTTCAACCAGCAATATATGCCAAAACCTCCTCCTAATCCGAACACGGCGCTCCTTACAGCCGCCTCAACCAACCATACCGACTGGTATCTGGATTCGGGAGCATCTTCGCATATGACAAAATCTTTAAATAACCTCTCTATTTCCACGCCTTATCGCGGTTCTGACGGGATCACCATAGGTGACAGGAGCTCGGTTAGCATTGAAAATTCCGGAAAGGGATTGCTACCGACTCCCTCTCGTAAGCTTTCTTTACTTAACATTTTACATTCTCTTCTCTTGCAATACAATCTCTTATCCATATCTAAACTAACGTGTGATAATAATATTGCTATCACCTTTGACCCCCATGGTTTCTCTTTTAAGGATATGACGACTAGCAAGGTAATTCTAACGGGACCTTGTAGTAACGGGACCTTGTAGTGACGGGCAGAATTCTCCACACAGCACGTTCTTTGCTCGTCCGTCCAACAACAGGCTCCGTGGCATGACCGACTGGGTCATCCTAGCACTAACTCTAGCTCAAATTTCTTCAGGAAACAAGCAACTTAGAATAGGATTTTCTTACATTCTTGTATCTGGTGTAATCAAACTAAGTCTCACAAGCTTTCATTTCATAATTATGATTCGAGGAAATCTGCTCCACTTGAGTTAATCCATTCGGATGTTTGGGGGCCAGCTCCCAAAGCATCCATTAATGGATATCTCTACTATGTAATCTTTGTAGATGATTACTCTCGATTTACGTGGATTTTTCCCATGTTTCATAAAGCAGATGTTCTTAATATTTTTATTGTTTTCAAATCTCAAATTGAGACCTCCACATCTCGGAAAATCAAAAGCATAAGAACTGACGGCGGTGGCGAATACATGAGCAGATCGTTCAAACAGTTTCTTCAAACTCACAGAATAACTCATCAGGTTTCTTGCCCTCACACTCCGAAACAAAACAGAGTGGTCGAGAGGAAACATCAGCATATCATTGAAACCACGCGCACGATTCTTCACATAGCATCTATTCCCTACAACTTCTGGCCTGACGCCGTGCTTACTGCGGTCTACCTCATTAACCGCATGCCTTCCCCCAACACTGGCAATCATCCTCCGTTTGAACTTATGCACAATCGGAAGCCGGATTACAGTTATTTATGCACGTTCGGTTGCGCCTGTTTTCCCCTCATACCATCTTCACAAAGACACAAACTTCAACCCACCTCCGACTGCTTTGTTTTTCTCGGATACTCGGATATCTATAAGGGCTACAAATGCTTAAACATTAACACTAACAAGATTATCATGTCACGACACGTCAAATTTGACGAAAACAATTTTCCTTTTAATTCTAATCAGCAAATTTCTCCCATCCAGGTCTCGCATAATTGCTCGTTGCTTCTCATTCCATCGTCAGCAAAATGTACATCTCAGAAGGCCAAAACCACAACTGCAGCTCCTGTACCAAGCCAAGTCAACCCTACAACATCTGAGGCTCTAAATCAAATCTCGGAACTGGTCATCCCCACCAATACTAGCACCAATACTAGTCCTCAACAAACGTTCCGGCACCCAATGGTCACTCGGATGCGCACAGGATCTCTCCGCCCCACATCACGGCTTAATCTTATTCACCACCAGCCTATTCCAGAACCACCAACCGATCCAACTTCCTACAAAGAGGCCAGCAAACATCAAATATGGAGGTCCGCCATGGCCTCCGAATTTCTCGCTTTACAAAAACAAGGGACTTGGAGTCTCGTTCCCTTATCGTCCAACTGCTCCGCTCTCGGATGTCGATGGATTTATCGTACCAAAACTCATGCTGATGGATCCATTGCTAAATACAAGGCACGTCTCGTTGCCCAAGGAAACCACCAAGAATATGGTCTTGACTACTCCGAGACCTTCAGCCCTGTCGCCAAGCTTCCTACCATCCGCGTACTACTTGCCGTCGCCATTCACAATAATTGGCCGGTCCAACAATTGGATGTTGCCAACGGGTTTCTTCACAGTAAACTTACTGAAACCGTGTACATGAGGCAGCCAAAAGGGTTTGAAGATTCGACAAATCCCGACCATGTTTGCCTTCTACATAAAGCCATCTACGGACTTAAACAAGCGCCACGACAATGGTATAACATGTTTACCTCTACCTTGGTCTCTATGGGATTTGCACATAGTTCCGCCGATCCCTCTTTTTTAATCATGCATAAACACAACATCCACATATATCTACTCATATATGTGGATGATATTCTTATCATTGGTAATGACAACAAAGCTATCCACAATACACTCACTGCTCTCGGTAATCAGTTCGCCATGAAAAATTTAGGCGAAGCTCATAATTTTCTCGGTATAAAGATAGACCGGTACGATCAAAAATTCTTTCTATCAAAGCAAAACTATGCAACGTCTATCCTCAAATCAGCAAATCTGTCCAACTGCAACAAACTCTCCAACCCGTCCTGTACCAAACTTCCAGTCGACATACCGCCAGATGCGCACCTTTCGGATCCTACAACCTAAAGACAAATAATTGGATCTCTTCAATACCTCACTCTTACCAGACCGGATATCACCTACAGCGTCAACCAATTGTCGCAGCACATGCATAATCCCGAACGTCAACACATATACTTGCTCAAGCGTCTTCTTCGATAAATCCAAGGTACGTCTGACTTTGGCATTCCAATTTCGAAATCTAACTTATGTCTTACGTCCTTTTCAGACGTCGACTGGGCGGGAGATCCTGTTTCAAGAAAATCAACATCAGGATACTGTTCCT